ATATATATAGTACGGAAGAAGTTCAGTAGTTGCTCGATACTGCTGCTTTACCTTCACCAATGGAAAGCAATAAATACAAACAGTCAGAGATTATGAGAGATTAAACTCTTAAAACAAGGATACAAGTTTTAGTAGACGATGAACTCGCATCCTCTAACTAAGTTTAAATTACTACAAATCTACTATTCAAAGAAGAACTCATTCCGTATTAGAATGAGTATTTTTGGAACAGTTTATTAACGTGAAGTAATAACTTTATTTCTTGAATTATTATTAAATACTGTCATTGAAATTGAAGAATTTTTTTGCTTACCATTATCTGCTGCATCTGAAAAGATACAAAGTTTACATCATTTAATGTTTTTATATAATTAATGAACGTTTAACTTGCTCGTAATGTAAAACATTAATATCATAAAAAGACGTTATATTTGATTTTGTGCGCTGACTCTATTATTCACAGTTTACGAATTATCTTAAACAAATAACAAATTATTCGAATTTAAATTTTAGAGGGAAGTGCGATTTTAAAGACTAAAAAATATTTATAACTAAAAAATCATTCAATAAATCATCATCATAATAAATTCAGTTTTATGATTTTATTCATTTCAATTATTAATAAGTTTATTTTTCGTTGAGAAAGGTATTCATTATAAAAACTTAATTAAGGTTAGAAAATAATCTTTAATTTGTCCAATTATCTGCTACAAAAAAAGGACATCCTAACAGTTGTGGTTCACATGTTTAAATTAAGAACAATTTTAAAACCAATTAATTTATTTTTAAGACCAATTTTAAATTTTTTTGAGACATAGCTATAATTAGAAAGTATAAATTCTTTTCAAATACTTTTTAAATAATTATATAATTTATTTATATAATTATTTTAAATTCCTTAATTCATAATATAGTTATTTAGTTTCATTATTTTATCATTTTTAATATTAATAAACTCATTTCTATTATTTTAAAAATTAGGGGAATAAACTTTCGAGATATATTAAATGTAATAAATTATTCTCAAAATAGAAGACAGTACTAAATAATTTGGTTTATTGTTAAACGTTTTGTTTCGTTGTCTAATTACTTCTAAAATTAATTAATCTTTTTTTATTTTCTGCCAGTTGCCTTTCGATAAGAAAATAAGCTTAAATTGGTATTAATCAATATAATAAGTATTAAAAACCAACCAATATAACACTAGGTATTTACCAAAGTCGGTATTAGAAAGCCTGTTTCACATCTCTTCTTTGAAAAAGCATTAAAAATTTTATTTTTAAATTACATAATAATATCGTAACAAAACTAATTCTCTACAAATATGTTGTGTAATACGCTATTGCGTCTTACTCACTTATTACAGCAACTTGTTATTACCTTCACAAAGATTAAACCTCTAAACCTAAATTTTTTACCGAAATCAAATAAAAAATTGTCCCACTTATTATTTTTTAACATTATTTTTTCGCTTTTTTATATATTTCTCTTTCCTTTTCTTAAAAGTGTTTCTACACGGAGAAAACAATTCTGCTAAAATTAGCGTACTGTGACTACTAATGGCATTTCTGATTAAAAAAATAATAATATTGAAAATCAAACTAAACGGTATTTTATCAGTCATTTCATAATTTTTCCGTTCATGTGGTAACTGTTTATGTGGTAATGTCATGTGGAAACTGTATGGTAACTGTTATGGTTTTCATACTTATAGTCCTTATTACCACACACTGAGTAAAAAATACGGAACTTAAAAGTTAACTAAACCGAATAGGTGGTTTCTGACATGCTCTAAGTTATCATGATAAAACTGTTAAGTCTTACCACATTTAATGGCTTTATCACACATGATGAAATCATATTTTGTTGAAGTTTTAACAAAATCATTACCAAAGTGCATTGTCAAAAATTACCGAGAATTTTGGTGTTCTCATAGCGTTAGTTATATGGTAAATTTCACTACATGCTGGTAGTTTTACTCATACTTTTTCCTCAGTGAAACAAATAAACTCAACGAAACAAGTCTATTTAATTACAAAAAAGCACATTTCTAACTTCGAAACAATCTAATAAGTTGTTTTTACAAAATTTTCTTGAATTTTTTATTGCATTTCCTTTAATGTGGTTTAAAATGTTTTGCTTGCATTTATTTTTGAACATCATAATGAAAATTTTCCTACCAGTACCGCATAAAATCAACAAAATAAATTACTTTTATTTCTTAAAAATACTTTTCTTTTCATAATTCAGAATTAGCAACTTACCATTAAGAGCAGTTTGATTGTCTAGAAAATTTATTCAAAAACGAGTTAAAATTCTGAAGTACAGCTTCATTAGTAAACAATTTGCCAGTTTACTAACTGATAAAAAACATTCTTATTAATTATATCATTCAAATATCATTCGAAATGGAATTAATTTTTTCTCTTTCTGCATTCTTGCACAGATAACTAATTTTTTCTAAAAACACTAAAGACAAAAATACTTTTAATAATACTAAAATATTTCTTATAAGGTATAATTTAATTTTTATTGTAAGTCATACTTATGTTATAATATGATAATAATAACATAATGATAATAAAGATGCTATAATAATAAAAATTTACAATAATAAAGACACAAAACCTCATTATAGCGAGAGACATAAAATCATTATTTTATTAAAGCTAGGATGCTTAACGTTGTTCTGAACATTTTAATCGTCGTTCAAAAGAACAAAAGCGTAATGTGCCGTTTATTGTATTCAAAGTGTAATGTGCGCAAATTTTAAAACATAAAATAAAATTATCTGTTATAAAATCTATGTATACTTTATTATAAAAATCTTATTAATTATATCATATATTTATATATATATATATATATATATATATATATACACTGAAGAGCCAAAAAAACTGGTACTGGCATG